AAGTGTTTTACCCTCCTGGTACACAGCCAGGCCCAGCCCGCCAGCATCAGGGTAATGATTCTAACTGCCAGTCACTCCCAGAGAGGGGGGGAGAAGGAGGAAGAGGAGGAGGAGGAGGAGGCGGCACCAGAGCACGCGTAGGGCAGCCTGCCCCCCACTGGGAACGAAGCATGGCTGGGAGATGACCTCTCAGGGTGAGTGGAGTGCCGTGAGGCCAAGGAGTCCGTCAGGAGTGCCTGGAGGACATGACTAACAGCAGGGCAGCTCTCACACGGTGCTGGGTTGGTGCTAGACCTCAGGTGGCCACCAGTCTGAGGCGGGATGAGACAACACTGCAACGGGCAGACCGGCTCCCTCCCAGGCCCCCTCTGCAGCTGGCTCTGCTGGTGCTGGTACCTGCCATTCCCAAACTCCTGCCACCACAGGCAGGGCAGCCCATACACACAGCCAAGAACAGTGTCCCAAAGATGGACGTGACTGTTACAGTGCTGGAAGAGACCACACAAAGCACCTGGCACAGGCAGAAAACCAGACCACTTCCCACAATGCACCGTGCAGACAGGTCACTAGCCAGGCACCTCCTCTCTCTCTCTCCCACCAGCTCCCACACTTGCCCTCAGTGCGCTTCTCTCCCAGGAGGCTTTCCTGGTCCAGTGTGACCAGGTGGACAGGACTCCAGGGACAGGCGGGGGGGCTCAATTCTTGGAAGGCAGGTACCAGGGCAGCAGGGCAGGATTCTGCTCACCTTGAGCTCTCAGGAAGGTCAGCCTCACTGGGTAGGATCTACACCTTCCCACTCCCTGATCCTCTGCCTGCTGCTAAACACCACCTCTTCCCCCCACCTCCGCATTCTACAGTCCTACTTTGCAGATATACCAGCAATACCCTGCTTGTGAGGTACAACTGCATCCATTTCTGGGCCAACAGGTCAAGACCTGAGGCCAAACCACCCCTCTGAGTCCAGAGTCTACTGGGCTATTGCTTATTATAGAGGGCCCTCAAGACTCGTTCCTGCCCCAGGGAATGACCCCATGCCTTCCTCCTTCCTGGAAGGATGCTACTGGTGACAGAACACCCAACTTCCTCACACACGGAGACAAAAGAGAGACATGGAGGTGAGCCCAGGTGGTAGAGCACCAGCCTTGAGCGAAAAAGCTAAACAAGAGCTCAAGGCCCTGAGTTCAAACCCCAGTACTGGACAAAATGAAAAAGAAAGTAGAGCTGGGAAGGTGGCTCAGTGATAGAATGCTTGCCTTGCATTCATGAGGCTCTGGGTTTGAGTTCTCAGTACCACATAAGTAGAAAAAGCCAGAAGTGGCGCTGTGGCTCAAGTGATAGAGCACTAGCCTTGAGCTGAAGAGCTGAGGGACAGCGTCCAGGCCCAGAGTTCAGGCCAGCCTTGAGCTGAAGAGCTAAGGGACAGCGCCCAGGCCCAGAGTTCAGGCCCATGACTGACCAAAAAAAAAAGGAAAGTAAGAAAACGTCACTTGGCATTCTCACTCTAGCTTCTGAGTACCACACAAAAGCTAAAGACCACAGTCTCCTACCTGGGCATCTGGAATCCCGAGTTCATAGATGAGCAAGTGTTTGTAGCTCACAAAAAGATGTATTTCACCCTGCAGTGAGGACCACAGCAAAGTTTGTGAGCTTAGTTCTTTTCTCTTTTTCTTTTTTTTCTTTTTTTGGTGCCAGTCCTGAGACTTGAACTAATGGTGTAGGTGCTGTCCCTCAGCTCTTCAGCTCAAGGCAAGTGCTCTACCACTTGAGCCACAACACCACTTCCAGTTTTCTGGTGGTTAACTGGAGATAAGAGTCTCACAGACTTTCCTGCTCTGCCCAGGGCTGGCTTTGAACCATGATCCTCAGATCTCAGCCTCCTGAGTAGCTAGGATTACAGGCGTGAGACACTTGAGCCTGGCTCAGCTGGCCTCAAACAGGAATCCTCAGATATCAGCCTCCTGAGTATCTAGGATCACAGGCATTAGCCACCAGCAGTAGTTAGGACAGTCACTTTTGATGAACCAACCTCAGGAATAAAAACCACACAGCGCAAGATGTGGTGGCAGACACCTATAATTCCATTGCATATGCTTTTAATCCCAATACTGTGGTAGGCAGAGTTACAAGGATGACAAGTTTGAGGGCAGCTGAGCTCAGAACACAGAAAAACACAGCATCAAGGTCTCTAGGAGGGATATGAGGGCTTTATGATTTTGTTCCTGTCTCCTCAGAGAATGTCCCAGGCTCTTACCTCTGAGGGTCAACCAGGAACTGCAAGTGTATACATATGTGTATATGTGGTGTGTACATGTGTGTATAATTAACCCACAAGTGGCTCAAGTAGCAGAGTAGCAGTCGAGAGAAAAAGCTAAAGAAGAATGTAAGACCTAAAGTGTGGTGCTGGTGGCTCACACCTGTAACCCTAGCTACTCAGGAGGCTGACATCTGAGAATCATGGTTCAAAGCCAGCTCTAGCAGGAAAGTCTCTGAGACTCTAACCTCCAATTAATCACCAGAAAACTGGAAGTGGAGCTGTGGCTCAAAGTAGTATAGCACTGGCCTTGAGCAAAAAAGCTCAGGGACAATACCAGGCCTTGAGTTCAAGCCCCATGACCAGGAAAAAAAAGAAGTAAGACTGTGAGACCATGAGTTCTAGCCCTAGTCCTGGCACAACAACAAAAAAACCACAAGACCTGGGGGCATGGCTCAAGTAGTACAGTGCTTGCCCAGCAAGCATGACACCCTGAGTTCAAGCAAGTATATCACAAACATATGCAAGCAAAAACAAAATGTGTGGGGAGCTGGACACCAGTGGCTCATGCCTGTAATCCTAGCTACTCAGGAGGCTGAGATCTAAGAATCGCAGTTCAAAGCCAGCCTGGGCAGGAAAGTCTGTAAGACTCTCTTTTTTTTTTTTTTTTTTGTCATTGGTGGGGATTGAACCCTGGGCTTGGGCACTGTCCCTGAGCTCTTTAGCTCAAAGCTAGCACTCTGCCACTTGATCCATGGGACCACTTCCAGTTTTCTGGTGGTTAATTGGAGATAAGAGTCTCTCAGAGGGGCTGGGAAGGTGGCTCAGTGGTAGAGCACTTGCCTTGCATGCCTGAGGCCCTGGGTTTGATTCCTCAGCACCACATAAGCCAAAAGAAAAAAAGCCGGAAGTGGCGCTGTGGCTCAAGTGGTAGAGTGGTAGAGTGCTAGCCTTGAGCTGAAGAGCTGAGGGACAGCACCCCAGCCCAGAGTTCAGACCCCACGACCGGACCCAAAAAAAAAAAAAAGAGTCTCACAGAGTTTCCTGCTTGGGCTGGCTTTGAACTGTGATCCTCAGATCTTAACCTCATGAGTAGCTAGGCATGAGCCACTGGAGCTCAGCCCATATGACTCTTATCTCCAATAAACCACTCAGAAAACTGGAAGTGGCACTATGGCTCAAGTGATAGAAGGCTAGCCTTGAGCTGAAGAGCTGAGGGGCAGCACACAGGCCCAGAATTCAAGCCCCAAAACTGACCTCCCCCCAAAAAAAATATATGGGGAAACAGCTTAAGTGATAGAGGACTTGCCTAGCATGTACAAAGCTGTAAGTTCAATTCCCTAGAACCATAAAACTAAACAAAACAAAAAAGTCCAAAACCACAAGTTGGGTACAGGAAGCTCACACCTGTTATCCTAGCTACATGGGAGGCTAAATATGAGGCTCATAATTCAAAGTCATCCTATCAGGAAAGTTCATGAGACACTTATCTCCAATTAACCACCACCGGAAAAAAAAAAAACAGAAGTAGAGTTGTGGTTCAAGTGGTAGAATATTAGCCTTGAGCACAAAAGCTTAGGGACAGCTCCTAAGCCCTGAGTTCAAGCCCCAGGACAGGCATTTAAAAAAATCCAAAACACAAAGCAATCCTTCAATATGTCATTTGTCAATGAAGCAAACATACTCTTTTCCTTAAAAGCCAAACAGGTTCTAGTTCCCAACACAGACACTGTTCAAGGAGCCTTTTGTCTATTCACTCATTTAATGTTGGCCATCAGGTGAGGGCTGACTGGACCCCAGCCTTGCAGGGCAGCTGTGTCTGGGATGTGAGCCACTCTGCTGTCCCACACGAGTCTGTGTGGACTTCCTTGGCTGCCTGGCTCCTGGGTGGGGAAGATTGCTGGCATCTAGGAATACCAGTTGAGTGGAATGCAGCCTGCCTGGCAGATGGGTGCTTCTGCCACCGGGCAGAGGACAAGTCCTGACATCTGGGTACCCCACATCACCAGGTCACCTACTCGGAACCCAGCTAAGGCCACCGAAACGTGGGCACCGCCTACACTGTAGGCAGGGAGCTGAGGAACCAGAATGCTCATCTCATTCTGTCACCACAGAGAATAAAAGATACAGAGAGCAAATCTTCTGCAATTCCTATTCTGGGCTGTTACAACTCAGGCCAGCCTCTGCTCTTTCCAGCCCCTGCAATCTCACTGGAGCGAGTGACAAAAGTCTTGCTGGGACCAGGTGACATGTGTGATGGGGGGGGGGGTGGAGTGGGAGAGAATTCCAGGCTGGCAATAAAGCAGGCAATAATGCTATGACCAGGCCCCCACGGTGACTGGCGGCAAACCAGAGATGAAAGACCTCATAAAGCCCAGCGCTTTTATGTGTGTGTGCACCGAGCTGGGCCTCGCTGCCCCATTTCCCGAGGCGCGGCCTCAGGCGCCCTCCCGCCCACC